ATTTTCCAAATTATCCTAGTAAACACACTATATAACTTTAGTCACATATTTAGTTTCTCAATGTCACATTTGAGTTAGAGTATTCTAGATTCGTCTATTTAATGCATCGGGCTGCCGCCTATTCACAGAATGAATATTTGAGTGTAGTATTTTATTCATTGCACTCACAATTTTTGCGCTCTGCTTTGCGTAGTGCTGGCTGGGGCTTAAAAGTAAAGTTGGCCACTAGCCGTTGGCCGTTGGCCGTTGGCGGTTGGCTTAAAGTGCGTCGCCGAGTTGGTCGAAAGGTAGCGGCTGCTTATCGCATAATTGGTAGCAATGTTGGCTGCCAGTTTTTGCGGCGCTGCTGCTGCGAGTCGGACGCATTCCGGAGATGCCGGCAAAACACTTGTCAGCGACTTAAATGGCGCGCAGCTGGGCAAGAAGGAGCCGCATTCACGTCCAAGGTGGACACACCTCTGCCACAGACACGGCGAAGGTGTTGCCACTGATGTTGCTGCGGCTGCTGATGCTGCTGTTGCTGCTGCTGTTGCTGTTGGTGTTGCAGCTGAGACATTTGATGTGATTATTGAGTTATGCCCAACGGGGGCAGCTGCTTGGCATATTTCTCTTAATTTTTTGATAAAGTTATTCTTCACTCTGCTTCTTTTGTTTTTGCTGAGAGCAACAAAAATAACACACGAATGTGAGAAGAGGAATCGAATAAAGCTTTTTTTCCTACCGTTCACCCACGTAGCAGCACAGCAGCAGTGGCAGTGGCAGCGGCAGCTGATAAAAACATGGAATGACAAAACTAGGAAAAGCCAACTCAGCAGCTGAGCAGCCGGCAGCGCAGCAGGCACAGATTTTATAGCCGACACAACAACAACAACCCCAAATGAGTAGTGGCCAAAGAAGAACTTAAAAAAAAAAAAACATTAAAAAAGAGAAGAAGGAAAAAACACAACACGGCTTGCCAACAATAATAACAACTATACACACACACACGAAAGGAGAGACTCACACAATACATGCACACGCAATGCTGGCAGAGCACTCCAGCTGCGCTGCCTGCAATCAATAAAACGGATTAGAAATATCCTCAAATGCGTTGTTCACGGAATAACAGAGTGAGATGGAACGTGTGCGAGAGTGGGCGAGCGACTGTGAGAGCAAAGGTTTAAGCAGAAGAGCCCAGTCGTAGCTGAAGGTGACTGCAAATCATTTACAATAACAACGCCAAATGGGAATGAAGCTGAAGGAGACCAAAGGGGGAAAGAAAAAGTAGCGGCACTTACCATGCGATTTGCAAGTAGCGTTGACGTTGACGCTGACGTCGACAGCGATTGCTGCTGCAGTTTGTTGAATTTACGTTTTTATTTTATCTAAATACTCGAGGCACACGCGTATTTGAAGATTTACCGTTTTGTTCAAGCTTTTGTATTATTGTTGTTGGGGCGTTCCTGTTTGTCACACTTGCAGCACGAAATTCGTACACTCTTTATCTCTCTTTCTCTAGATCTCGCTTCTCTCTTCGGTTGACTGTGACCTTAGCGCCAACGACCTTTGGGGCGGCGGCGGCGGCACTCGACAGCGTCTGCCGGCAAAGCACACACAAATTGTAAACGTTGCTGCCGCTGATGTTATTTTTGTTGTTGTTGTTGCTGTTGTGTTGTTGTAATTTATGTATGCAAAAAAACTGTGTACATTAATTGCATGCAAGAGACAGCGACGGCGACGGTGACTGAGGCAGCGGAAGCTTCTGCCTGTTATGCTTGTTTTGTTGCTATTGCTGTCTACCTTTTATTTAAAACGTCGCTGCTGCTACACATAATTGCAGCAGCCGGCAGCAGCGACGTCGACGCACGAAAATTGCTCGTTTGTTTTTGTTGGTTGCTGCCGCTGCTGCTGCTGCTGGAACACACACGATGTTAACGGCGATTGAGCGTGCACAACAACAAAATGCTGATGCTGATGCTGCTGCTGATGTTTATGTATGTTTGTGTGTGTGTTATCACGATTTCTTATGCTGCACGTGAAGCTCTCAAGCTTGTCATATACTCGTATTATAATTATTTGATTGTCTCTCGTGCTCACCGTTTTATTATGATTTTGATTATTATTATTAAGGATCTCACACGCGCACCGGTAATTGATTCTTATTCATGTTCAATTGCATTTTGGACAATTGCGAAATTTATACAAATTCAACATAAAACGTAACACTAAACCAAAGAGGTGGAAAATAAAATTTTATTTATAATTTTAACCGGATACTTGTTCACTTGACTTTAACAACGATAACAAAAACAAAAACGCAGCAGACGTTCGCTCTGAGAAAGTATTATATTGTATTGTATTGGTGTATAACGTTCTTGCACTTTACAGTTTTATTTAGTTGCGTTGCGGTGTTTTGTATTTGTCGCCTGTCTGTTCTTTCGTTGCGTTCGCAGTGTTTGCCGCTGCGAGAGAAAACACGTCCGTTCACGTCAAGAGTTGCTCGGCAACAGCAACGAAACAAACCAAGTGAAACGCAACGAACCCACCAACGAGCCAAACAAGCAGATAAACTAAACGAAACGAATGCGAAACGATACGGCAGGCAACGAAACGCGCTCAAGGGATAAAATGCGAAGCATTTCCGAACGAAATGAAACAAAGAGAGCCGCAACGGCAAGCAAAGAGAGCGTTAAGGCAGGCATAGCCGCCCATTTGCAGCCACAGCGAAACGATGCGAAATGAAACTAAGAGAAAACTCAACGAAAGCATAAAGCAAGCGAAACATTTAACGAAATACGGCACGCTGCATTTACAGGTGATTCCAATCAAATTTCGTAGTTCTTTAAAAACCCAAGATTTTAACTACCTGTTGACAGGTAAATAAAAGTATAAAAATAAGAGTGTATATTGGAAAAAATCTTGTTTATACTGTTTGTATGAGTTTACGTTTCGAGAATTTTATATATGTTTGTATTAAGCAATAAGCAAATTTGTATATAGATATGTATGTCTGTTTTTTTGTATGTGTATATACAATACTTGTAGAATAGCTTTATTACCTGCCTTCGCTTCGGTTTTTGCCACCTACTAAGGATAGGTGAGTCTATCAAGATTCCCTTTTTCGATTAAACCTAATTAGATTAATGTATAAATTAATAGAAACTGTAAAATGTCGAAGCGAACGCTCAGTTTGTGTTCTCCACTTGGCTCAGAATGTTGTTGGCTCTCAGTGCATTGATGTTAGGTCTGTGGCCTGACCAATCGATAACTTATCGATTATCGGCGTCAGCTGAAACCTCAGATGTTGGGTATATCCTTGAGCTCATAGACAAAATGCAAAGTCAAAGACCCATTGAGACGTTGTTGTTCATGCAACGGGAAAAGGACTTCAACTCCTGCCTGAATGAGCTGAATCCGATTGGAATACCGGTGCTACGACTGGACGGAGCTAACGGGTTTAAGCTAGGCGAACACTTCAATAGTGAGGCACTCGCCCTGCTCTGCATACAGCAGCCGGAGGACGTCATGCTGCTGCAGTGCCTGGCCGAGATTCTGGACCGGATCAGAGAGACGCGTGCTCTGATCTGGTTGAATATTGCCGAGGCTGATCCGGAGGAATATCTAGCGCTGATAGCCGATCGGGCAGACACCTACAATTTGATGAATATGCTGGTGCTGCACTCCATGCCAATGGAACTATCGATAAGCGCCTATCGATTGCAGCCTTTTCCGGAGGCGACTTTCGCGCCTCTGAATGATTCAGATGGAGGTAAAATCTTCAACCGGATCTGGGGCGACTTTCAGCAGAGGACAGCCATAGCCCATCCGAGTCTACATATTCCCGGCAGTTTCCTGGCCAAGCACAGAGTGGGGGGCGGAAAATACTTGGGCGGCTACATGGATCGACTTATCAAGCAGTTCGCTCGAATATACAATATTCGATTGAGATTCAGGAGGCCGGTGAACGAGAGCAGCTGGCTAAGTGACATGGAAATCCGGGGTCTGGTGAGGCGGAAGGAGGTGGACTTGCCCATGTACGGCCGGATATTCTCCTTCAATACGGAGTACACCACCTACCTGGACATCGCCCAGGTGTTCATAGTCGTGCCGTGTGGCAAAGAGATGCGATTGGACGACATCTATAAGAGTCTACGGCCCTACTTTCTGGTCACACTGGGCGTCTATCTGATCTTCGCCCTGCTCGAACAGCTCCTGGAGCTGGCGAATCAGCGGATCGGCCGACGTGAGGGCGTGAACTGGAACTGGTTCACGTGGCTCGTCAATCTGCGCGCCTTCGCTGGCGCCTTGGGCCTGCCCATCGGCATCATCCGACGCTATCGCAGCCTCACGATGCGACAGTTCCTCATGCTCATGTACGTCTTCAGCCTGGTCTTCAGCTGCTTCTTCAGCGCCAGCCTGAGCGCCCTGCTGACCAAGCTGCCCTGCTATCAGCACATCCAGAACTTCGAGGAGCTCCAGCGAAGCGGCTTGCCCGTCATGTTCGACGAGTATGCAGCGAGCATGAGCGAGCTGCAGGAGAATCGCGTGCAGATCGGACAGCTGACCAATAAAGTTCTGGCACCCAACATCAAGCGCAACGATCTGATGTTCGCCCTGGACACGCACCACGCCTACCAGACCTCCAGCCGGCTCTGGCAGATCGTGAACAACTACCAGAGCCGCTACAGACGTAACGTCCTATGCGCATCCCCCGGCCTGATCCTCTTCTATGACTATCCCATTGTGGGCCTCGTGCAGAGCAACTCCGTCTTCAAGGCAACCCTGAACGAGTTCATCTATCGCGCCCACGACGTCGGCCTGGTCAGGCATTGGATCTTGGAGGCCATGCGCAGCCTGACGGCCACCCAGATCGAGCCCCACAACCAAACCCATTCGTATGCCGAGTTCACCCAGGCTCCACTCACAAATCGCGATCTGCTTTGGGTGTGGAAACTCTTGGCCACCTTTGATGCGGCAGCTCTTTTGGTTTT